GCATGGTGTGCTGAACACTGGCCACAATCCCTGCTGTGGGTATGTAGGAACAGAAACCCCCTCAAGTCTGGGTGCTGGGTGGCCTCCAGGGCGGGGAGCTGGGGTTTGGGAAGGATGAGAGCCAGGAGAGAACCCAGACTGGCTGCCCCGCAAAGCAATGGACTGCTGGGGACAAATAACACTCAGATTTCTTAATCTAGAGACCACATTTCCTTGACATACATGCTTTGAGCTCCTCAGAGAGGAGAAACTGAGGCACTACTCAGATGTAGACATCCCCAGGTGCAGCCGAAGGATGGTGGGCCCCTCAGAAAGTGGGGAGCCACAGGAGACTCTGAGAGGATTTAGAGAGCAAAGTGAGGCATGAGATTATGCATAGTCTCCTGCATGCAAGGTTTTCTATCTTTTATTTTTTTAAATTTTATTCCCACTCTTTTTTTTAATTGATTTCCCAAGAGATACAATGACAAAGTTTCCTCAATCATGAAAGCTTTGTAACTAGCATGGTGAATTAATAAAAAATTTAAAAATATATTTCAATTTACACATCACCATAACTGCCAGGAAATTCAAGTCCAGGTGTCTAAAGACTGGAAATTCAAGGTTTGCTTATTGTAGTACAATTGAAGACTGAAAATCAAGGTTTAAAATGCTTCTCTTCACACAGGGGATTGCCCTGCCACAGAGGCAGGGGGGAATGGGGGGATGGGGGTGGGAGGGATATTATCCATGGTGGTGAAAAACGGGCACTGGTGGAGGGATGGGTATCTGATCATTGTATAATTGAAACCCAAGCACAAAAAATTGTAAATCTACAACTGTAAAAAAAAAAATTTAAAAATAAAATTTAAAAAATAAATAAATAAATAAATCTAAGGAAATAAAAAAAAAGAAAATGCTTCTCTTCAAATTTCATTTTCGTAACTCGATACCAAGAACTTCCTAGAGAGAATGCAGTGAGCTGTGGCTTCCCTAGAGATAATGCAGCATCTGATAGGACAAGGTGTTACGATGCATAGTTTGCTTCGTCAAATGCTTTTCTAGTGCGTTTTATTTCTTCATTCGCATCAAGCAAGTCTTTCACCCTAGCAAACTTCCTCGGGTCCTTGCGAACCAAGAAGACAATATCTTCCACTTGGACGCGGCCTTGCATGCCGATGGACATTGCTCTGTGCGTCATTTCCGTGATGAATTCTACGACGATGTCTTCGAGAATTTCCACTGATTCTGTGTAAGGATTCTGGTCATCCCCAAACGCGTACATCAGGCATCATAATTCTTTGGAAAACAGTCCCTTTCTGCGAGCCTGCCCACCTTCAGCACCTCGTCCAGTTTCTTCGTTTTCTTCCCATAGAGTGAGGGCTTCCTCCTGCTGGGCCATAGCAGCTGCCCACCCACCTGGGTGTCAGGGCCTCAGAGCCACTGCTTCCACTCCTTCTGCCCTCTCCCTTCCTGGAGAAGATCTTTTTGGTTGTTTTTTGGGCGGTACCTGGCAGTGCTCTGGTACACTCAGGAAGATGCTTCCAGCTCTCTTCTTCCCTGGGGACACCAGCTGTGGAAAGGTCCTGGGCAGAGCTTTTGAGTCTTGGCTTCCGAAGGGATGCAGGAACCACCAGGCCTCACTTAGATGCTCTTCTTGTGCTCAGAGGGATGCAATCATAGGGATGCTCTCTGAGGGATGCTCTTCCAGTTTTGATGGGGAAGAGCTTTTATGCAAGCCTGGAGGGTGGGTGCCAGACAGGGTGTGGCAGGACCTGCCTGAGTCACCTGGTGGGGCTAGGGCAGGGCCAGCTTTGTGTCCACACCCTGTCTGTGCCTCCAGAGAATGAAAAACTTCAACTCCTGCTGTGTGTCCTGGGAGAGACTTGCATGCTCACAGCCTGATAATCTCACATGCCAGGACAGTCAGTCCTGAACAATCCCAGACACATCTGCAGCATCCCCTTTCTGCAGGGAGGTGGGATGGGGGACAAGGCAAGCGACCCTGAAGAGATGTGAGAGGCCCTCAGCTATTTCCTAGACCATTGTCGGAAGAGACCCAGGGCTGGGTGGGGATCCCCTCTGCTCTTTGTCCCATTGTCTCTGTCTGAGGGTCCCTCTGAGCAATGGTGCCCATGGTCCGGGCACAGAGAGAGACTCTGTCCCTCACATGCACATGCACATGCCCAAAAACCCAGCACAAGCTGTGGGGGTAGTTAGCACCTGACCAGACCAGGAGAGTCACACCACCACATACACACACACACATACAAACAAGAACACACACACACAGAGGAGTGATTCTTTTCAGATCCAGGACTAACCTCTGATATAGATCTTTGGCATCCCCTGCTCTTGCAAACAGTTAGCAAGGCCAAAGCTTCCCCTGTAGACTGGGAACTGAATTATATGCTTTTCTCTTTCCCCTAGGGCCTTTTCAGAATTTACTACAGAGCAGTGATCTTTGCTCAGTAAAGACAGAGAGACCATTAATGTTGTGCTGCTTGTGTTTGGGAGTTGATTGGCTCTGAGATAGTTCTTGAGCATCGATATAATTCCTTGACTCAGGCCTTGGTTTCTGTAGTTCGTAACACCACACAAATAGAGGTCTGCTGTGGGACTGGGTCGGACCCAAGGCGAGCAGTGAAACTATCGAGGTATCGCAATGGGACAATTCAGAAAACATAAAAACACCATCTGGTGCAAACCATTGTGACTTAAGAGACAGGAGCCCCGTGGGAAAGGAAGGACTAAACTAGGCCTGAGGAGATACTTGGATTTACCGTAGAAGCCCAGTAGCCTTGTCCATGGAGCCCAGAGTACTAAGTTTTGGAATCAGTATCTTTTACTGTGTTTCTCCAAATACCTGCAAGTATTAAGTAAATTTTCCAAGATTACCTCACCATATTTGATAGGGTTCAAATATGGTTTGAACCATGTGAACATCTGCAAGGGCGATTAGAGGCCACCCTAAAAGCCTCTATCACTCTCGGATAGCCTGGCAACTGCCGAGAATATCCTGCCCGCATGGGAGAGTCTGGCAAGCTTTCCGTGGCATATTTGATATGCCAAAACTAGTAAATACAACGGGTCTCATTCCCCTGACCCTGAAAGAGCCACCAATATGGTAGTGTAGGAAGGATGAGGATGGAGAGGCTGATAAAATCTCAAGGCCAAAGTAGGCTGGCAAAACAAGGACAAAAAAGGCTATCTGTACTTTCAATGCACGTATGCTGGCATTGGATGCATCCATCGAGGACCTGATGGTATAAGCATGAAAGATCAAGTGCATCATTGGTCTGCCCGAGATTAGAAGGCATCAATCACATCACGCCTTTTTCGACATTGGAGAAGTAACTGTTCCTCAGATCATGGACAGAATATGTGTTGGTGGTGTCAGTGTCCTTGTCAACATGAACTTGACCATGAGTATTGATTCATTCAAATGCCTAACAACCTGAATCAGACGATTACCCTTGAATAGATGTGGCTCACTGCCGGCAGTTTCTATCTTCGTTGTCAACACACCAACGTCCAATTATGATGAAGCAGAAATTGAGAAATTCTACATGGAGCCTGAGAAGTTCTAAAAAGAAGACCACACTTTCTACAAGATCATTGTTGGTGATTTTAATGCCAAGATAGGACCGAGAAGATCAGCCGAAGAACTCCACATTGGGACCTATGGCCTAGAATGGAACGAACATTCATTCGCCCTCAGTGAATGAGTTCATCATATCCACCAAGACCACCCATGGTAATTCGTTGAACATGCGATTCTTCCGGTGGATGTTTACACTATGAAATTAACTATATCATAATCAATTGATGGTTTTGCTTGACTGATCTCGCTGTTGTCCCAAAATTCCAAACGAGAGAAGACCACCGTCTCCGTGCAAAATTCTACTTCCTGGAGTGGGGACAAATGGCTTCAAAGTTTAAGTACAGCAAGCAAAGCCTCATTAATGTAGTCAACGATTGCCAGGTCTGACTTGCTCCGGCACTGACCCGTGTACCTCTCACTCAGATGCCGAATAGCAATGGGGCTCCAGACGGCCGGCCGGGTCTTTTGAGACATGTAGGAGAGGCCGACTGAGGCCATCTGGCCTTTGGCAACTTGGAGTTTGGGGCCTTGCAGGCATGGAACCCAGAGGTCTGGCTCACTGTGGACTGTTTCCAGCTTTGGGATGCCCGGACCAAGACAGCCAAGCAGCTGGCATTGATTCTGGGCCCGAGCCTGAGGTGCCTTGGGCACGGGCCTTCTCAGTGCCCAGAGCTGAGCTGGTCTCAAGTGTCTGGTTCAAGGGGCAAGAGCACACTGGGCCCCCATGCAACTGCCCGCTAGAGGGGGGAAGGGCCCGTCTCTGAGTGCAGAGTCTATGCAAGGCCTGCAGGCACCCCTGCTCACACAGAGGCTCAGACAGAGTTGAGGGACAAAGAGCACCTGGGTTTCCCCACCCAGCCCGGGTAGTCTGAAAACAAGGGCCCAAGAAAGAGCCTAGGGACTCTCAGGTCACTTTTGGGTCACCCGCCTCTCCCCCCCCACACACTACATGCAGAAAGGGAGAACTGCAGAGGAGTTTGGGATTGTTCAGGACTATCTGAGGTTGATATTCAGAGGCCATGAGTATGCAAGGCTCTTCCAGGACACATAGAAGGAGTTGTCTTTTTTCCATTCCCTGGAGGCACAGACAGGGTGTGGACAGGTGGCTGGCCCCTCCTAGCCTGACTGACTGACCCAGCCAGGTCCTGCCACACACTGTCTGGCAACCACCCTCCAGGCTTGCATGAAAGCACTTCCCCTACCACAAGTGGAAGAGCATCCCTCTGAGAGCTCCTGCCTGAGCACATCCCTCTGAGAGGGTCTGCAGCAGAAGCAGAGTGGCCCGGCCATCCTGGACTCGCTCATCACTGAGCAGGGACAGTGACCAGGAGGAACACGAGACTCAGAAAGCTCGGGAGCACAGGAGAATCCAGAGAGACCCAGAAGAGCTCGCTTGCACTGGGAGAAGTCAGAGAAGATGGCGCTCAGCAGATTTTTACCTGCCCCAAATCAGCTTGCTCAGGAACCGCCTGAGGCTGAGGAAAAGGCAAGGTCCCAGAAGTCCCCAAAGACCTCACTGGTTTCCTCCTGAAGAGAACCTCCTGCATATGGGTACAGGAAAGGTTGGATACCTCGCTTATTAGAGGAATTTGGAGATGGAGGTGCTTTTCCAGAGATCCACGTGGCCCAGTATCCACTGGCTATGGGACAGAAGGAAAAAATGTCAAATGCACTGTCCATTCAGGTGGACACTGAAGGAAAAATCAAGTATGATGCAATTGCTCGACAAGGACAGCCCAAAGACAAGGTCATTTACAGCAAGTACCATGACCTAGTGCCCAAAGAAGCCTCGAAGGCAGATGACCCAGACCTCCAGAGACCCAATGAAGAAGCCATTCGAGAGGTAACAGAAAAGACCAGACGAGCCTTCAAGAGGTCTGTGTCTCAGAAGCTTGCTGCCGCCATGCCTCCCCGAGAGGCTGACAAGCAGGTTCCTGCTCAGTATATCCAATACACTTCAGCTCAGCAAGGAGCAGCTTTCAACCCAGGAGCCAAACAGAGGGTTATCCAGGTGGTGCAAATACAGAAAGATCCCATGGAGCCTCCGAGATTCAAAATTAATAAGAAAATTCCTCAGGGACCACCTTCTCCTCCTGCACCCGTCATGCATTCCCCCAGCCGGAAGATGACTGTGAAGGAGCAACAAGCATGGAAGATTCCTCCTTGTATCTCCAAGTGGAAGAACGCGAGGGGTTACACAGTTCCCTTAGACAAGCGCCTGGCTGCCGATGGAAGGGGAGTGCAGACCGTGCGCATCAGTGAGAACTTTTCCCGGCTGGCAGAAGCGCTGTACATCGCCGACCGGAAGGCTCGTGGAGCTGTGGAAATGCGTGCTCGGGTAGAGAGAAAGATGGCTCAGAGAGAAAAGGAGAAACGTGAGGAGATGCTCAGAGAAATGGCCCAGAGAGCCAGGGGGAGGAGAGCTGGCCTCAAACCTCACATTGAGGAAGAAAATGTAGACGCACGCGAGAGGGATGAGATCCGGGATGACAGGCAAAAAGAGAGACGGCATGACCGCAATCTTTCCAGGGCAGTGCTCAAGAAACGGCCTAAATTTCATGAAAACCGAGATATCAGTGAAGTGACTGCACTTGGTGTGGCCAACCCTCGGCCTTCCTATGGTATTCAGTACGACCAGAGGCTCTTCAACCAAACCGAGGGGATGGACAGCGGCTTTGCAGCAGGAGAAGATGGAATATACAACGTTTACGACCAAGCATGGAGAAGTGGCAAATGTAGGGCCCCCAGCATTTTCAGGCCCAGCAAAAATTCGGACAAGGACACGGATGGTGGTGACCTCGAAGCCAGAAGAAAGACCCACAGATCTGTTCCCAATAAGGAGTTTTCTGGTTCAGATCCTAGGCAGCGAGGCCGAGAGGGACCAGTTCAGTTCGAAGAGAATCCTTTTGGCTTGGACAAGTTTCTGGAAGAAGCCAAACAACACAGTGGCTCCAAAAGACCTTCAGGTAGCAGCTGTCCCAAGGAACGTGAGCACGAAAGCAAGAAGAGAAGAATGGAATAGAGGCGCCTCTCTGGGGGGGATGAACTGTGTGACTCAGTGAGGGACACAAGTCCCATATAGCAACATTTGATTTGGGAGCAACCGGAACATAAACTAAATCTGGAGGGTCAGAACCTAGGCCTACTTTTCATTTCGAGAAGTATGGGGTGGCACACTCTGCTGCCATGGGGGTCCCCTACACAACACCCTGGGTCATGGCACAGGGAGCAAATGTGGCCTGTATATAATCCTCTCCTATTGGTTTAGTGCGTTTTCATTTAGGAATAAAGGTTTCTCTGTTTAAGGCATCTTGCTGGTCTTTTGTGTGTTTGTTTTGGTGAAAAGGGGGCTCCAGCCATGGTTGTCGGGACTCTCAGCCCTGGCCAGAGGCAAAACCATCACACGCCCTCCCTGGGACCTGTTCCCTCTGTCCACACCCCCACATGCCCTCCAAACATTGGGGACCCCACTCAGATATGGCACCTAATCTGGGTTCCTCCCGATCCCTCCCTCTGTGTCACTGCGTTTCAGGGCCTCAGGGGAGCCCCTTGCCCCCTCCTGAGCCCGTGGCAGCAAAGAAAACAGCAGCAACTGAGGAGGTCAGGGGCTGGAACATGGGTCCGGGTCACAGGCACTAGAAAGTGGATAAATGTTCGCATATTTGCAAAAGAAAAAACTAGTATTCAGATGCCCGGGGGCAGAGATAACGCTGTCCACTGAAGCCAAGGGAGATGGCACTTAACAAAGCTGGCAAGGAGGGGGTGTGAGCAGGCAAAAGGAGCTCATCAGGCAGCCGAGCAGCGGCTTTCCCGCGCGGCTCCCGGCCCATCTGCCCCAGCAGCCCTCTTGGTGCAGGAGGGCCCGGCTGGGGAGCAGGTGCGTCTCCAGCCTCTGAGCACAGCGGCTCCCTCTCCCTGGAAGGGCCTCTTCGTCCATCCACTCCCACACAGGAAGGGCTTGGCTCGGGCCAGCTGCAGGGGAGGGAGGGGACTTAGTCCAGTGCTTTTCAGGAAGCTTCCAGTACCATCTGGATCCTTGGAGTTTCTTGTTTTAGCCTGGTTTGGGGGCCACACTTGGAAACTCTCAGGGGCCACTCCAGGCCCTGTGCTCTGGGGACCAAATGTGGTGCCAGGGGTAGAATCAGTATCACAACACGCACAGTGCAAGGACCTAGCCCCTGTACTGTCCAGCGCGCAGCCCCTCTGTCTGTCTTGCCTCACAGGAGGCCCTGTCCGTTTACCCTGTTCGACAGCCCCGCCGTGTTGGGTCAGGACTCAGCTGAATTCAGTGTGACCCTGACTTGGTTACAGCTCCCAAAGTTGGCACCTACAAGTACCAGGAGTCAGGGCTTCCAGAAATGGTTTTCTTCGAGTGGAGGGACACTATGAGGCCCCAACAGCATCAGAGGCCACGGGCAAGAGCACTTTGCCCACAGCACCCCCAGGCCTACAGTTGCAGCTACAGAGCCAGAGAACGTACTTCCTTGTGAGCTCAAAATTCCTCCTAGTTCTCCTCGCTGAGTGCCTTCGAGCAGCTCTGTGGTTTCTGACCTGTGTCAGAACCTTCAGGATAAGAAGGTTCTCTGGGCCTGGTAAATGAAAGAGTGATTTAGAGGTTATTTTATACCTCAGAAGAAGGGCGAAGGATTTGCTGTTGTATCACTGACTTCATTTCCTAAGACTCGTACTAGACTGTATTTGTCTCGACCACTCGAATCACTCTGGACACTCTCCAGGGCATCATGGGGAGGCTTTCTGAGCAAGGAGCTGTTTTGAAGCCCTGTGTACGAGGAAGCAGGTTGGACAGCCCTGGAGTGCAGCAGCAGATCCCCCCTCAGGACCCTGTCATTCCACAGAACATCTGACATGCGTCTCAGCTCCTTTCCCCAGGCTCCTCCTGGTTTCCAGGGCAGAACTTACCCAGAAAATTAGCAACTACAGAGATCCGGGCTGGCAGCCGTCGGTGGGGAGGTGTTTGTGCGACTCTTAGATTATTCCACAGGCAGCAAGATCTGACTCTGCATGCTAATGACTCTTATTTTTTTGGCCTTTTTTTGGGGGGGTCACACCGGGCGATGCACAGGGGTTACTCCTGGTTCTGCACTCAGGAATTACTCCTGGCAGTGCTCAGGGGACCATATGGGATTCTGGGAATCAACTCAGGTTGGCCACGTACAAGGCAAATGCCCTACCCGCTGTGTTATTGCTCCAGCCCTGCTAATGACTCTTATGGCAAACTTTTGGTAATTTTCAAATAATTTATCCATCAGTTAATCCCTTTAGGCATGAACTGATTTACTTCTTGCGGCGATAGGCCTCTCTCTCTTCCCTGTGTCCTTTACTGGGCAAATTAGACATGTTAATTATGGTCTCTGGAAAAGAATTCCCAGGACAAAATCTGTGTTGCCATGCACAAGCTGTCTGACCTTGGGCATGTTAATTCATCTTCTTTCAATCAGGTTCCTCTGATGTAAAATGGGGCTGATGGATCCGATAAGAGAATTAAATAAGATAATTCATGAAAAGAACGGACACAAGGTTAGCCCCATAGCAGTGCTTAATAAATGAAAACTTTTATTAATAAAGTGGAAACTTGTGATTAAGCAAATCAGAGTGTAATGAAATTAGCAGCAGGGTTCCTTGTCCCGTGGTTCTGTGTCTTGACCTGAAGGTGAGCACAGTGTCCTCTGACCTGTCCCTGTTTTGGTGAGGCCCAAGGCTCTGGCCCCACAGAGCACCGGTGTGATATTTAAATAGAACGACTTGATTGGAAAATAGCTGCACGAATTCGCATGCCATTGCCTGGAATGAAGCTTACCTTGCTGGCGGGGTTGTTTCCTTCACATTGGCACACATGTGTACCTGTGTCTGCATATAAATATCTCTCCCGGTGGGAGGATGAGCTAATCTAAGCTCTATCGCACAATACCCCAGCCCTGTATGGATAAAACAGGCTCCATTTGGGCTGCTTAGACTGGAACCTAGTGATTACAATCATATGAACATGGTTGGGTCTGATGGGCGCGTCCTGTGTCACTCCTAGTCTGAGCAAGACCAAGAAACTATCATAACCAGATACTGTCTAATCCCGTGTCTTTTCTCTGTCACCCACAGAGGAGTGATGTCCTATGATTTTCTCCTTCTCCTCTGACTTATTCAGCTGAACATAGTTGTTCGGGTCACAACCCCCCCCCCCCCCCCCCAATGCTCAGGGGGCCACTCTTCGCTCTTCACTCAGAAATCACTCTTGGTGGTACTCGGGGACGATATGGGATGCCAGGGATAGAACCCAGGTCCTGGGCATGCAAGTCCAGTGCGCTACAGGCTGAACCATCTCTCAGGTAACATCAATGATCGTCCCGGTGGAAGGAGTGCCACACTCAGGGACTCTGAGGTGCTGGGAATCAAGCCCAGCACTCCCATTTCTCACTCTACCTCTCCCTCTGCTGTGAGGACCCCAACAGAGGTGATTCCACTCTCCCAGGTCTACAGAAAAGCCTGAGAGTCCTTTCCATTAGCTTCTGGGGATTAGTGATTGGAATCAGAATTGTGTTGGTGGTTTTTTTAAAAAATTTTATTATTATTATTATTTAACTTTTGTGAATTGGACTTTTAAAACCCCGAGAAGGCTTCTGGGTGTTGCCTCCTGATCTGAGGCTCCGGCGGCCTGCAGGATGACCCCTAGTGTACCTTCTCAAAGTGTACCTTCTCAAAGTGTACCTTCTCAAAGGCTGGGACATTGACGGCGTGGCAGGACAGCCGCTCTCTTCAATGCATTTCTCTTCCCAGCCATGTAACCACATCTGCTCCTTGGTGGTTCACTCTTGGCCATGAATTCTCATTGACTGTTGCCAGGATCTATTGGAGAAAGATTCAAGTGGACAGATAGACGACCAAGAAGCACATCTCAAAAGAGCCCATTAACATCCTGAACAACCCACCTTCTCTATAAACAAATGAAACAACACACTGAGGGAAAACAACTCAGCTGGGACACTCTCTGCTCCCCCCGCTGTGTGCCTAACCCGCCAGACATGAGCTGAGCTGAGTCCTCGCCCGTGGAGGCCTACCACTTGCTCTGCACTCTTGCTGCTGCCTCCCAGCACGAAGATGAGAGTCCAGGTCATGTGGTCTGTATTACAATGCAGGCAAGAAAGTTTCCAGGAAATCCCAAGGCTAGAGTGAAGGTTGCATTTAAAGCATTTATTGATGGATTCAGGAAGTGCTCTCCCAAAGAAAACTCGGACAGTGAGATCGGCCCACTGGCAGAGATTTCCTCACAGTCAAATTCCCCAGGAGGAATGACTTTGCCTTAATAGGGTACTAAAAATCTTAATGCAAACATAAAATGCTTATATGTCGGAGGCAAAAAAAGCCCAGGCTCATCTTGGGGACAGAGAGGACCATTTTTCATCTCTGCTTTCTCATTGATTATACTGTGACTTCTGAGTTCAACACTCTTAAAGTATGTGTTTTCCTTCCTCCTGAAGTCCCATCAATGAATGAAACACTTTATGTTTCTCAAGGAATTGTTTTTATAAGGTCTTGTTTATGGAGTTGGAAAAAAGGAATGCTAAAGCTTTGATCTGCAAACTCTTAATGTCTGGCTCCAAATTCGGCATGCTTATCTCAGAAGAGCGGCATCTTGAACTCCCGAGAAACCTCAATGAGCTTGGTTATTGTGTGGATATGGTCGATGGTGCTGAATCCTTTGCGGAACCCTGCTTGCTCGCATGGTTGTCCTTCATCTAGTGTTCTGCCAATCCTATTTAGGATGACTCGAGTGAACAACTTGTAGATGACAGACAATAGGCAGATCGGGCGATAGTTGCCAATGTCATGGATGTCTCCCTTCTTGAACAGTAGTACGGTCCTGCTGGTTTTCAATTGGGACGGAACCTTGCATTCAGACAGATAGCGAGTGAAGAGCAGAGCCAGTGTATTGATGAGTACTGACGGCAGGTTCTTCAGGTGTTCAGGTCTGACCTTGTCTGGGCCGGGTGCTGTTTGTTTCTTTACCGA